TGGCTGCCCCCTCCCTGGCAGTGTTCAAGGCCAGCTTGGATGGGGCTCTGAGCAACCTGCTCTAGTGGAAGGGGTCCCTGCCTACGACAGGGGTGGTGCACCTAGATGGTCTACAGGGTCCCTTCCAACCCATTCTCTGATTCTATGAACACACTAAGCATCATGTCCGGCTGCATGGTACTGATATACTTTATTCATATTTATTGTCCAGTACTGTGATCAGTGGAGGCCTGGTAGCACTGAACAGGGCTGAATACGTAAGACTGAATTGCTGAAACACTGAAACAAGACGCCAGGAGAATGGAAATACAGTGGAACCTAGAGAAATAGAGTGTCTTTCTACCACTGTTGGGTCATTGCATCCCATTAGTGGAAAAAATCAGTAAACAGCATGTTAAGTTCTGCAACACTAAGAGTACTCCTTAGCTAAGCACAGCACAGGCTCAACCACGGCAAGGTAAGCAACTACATCCCACATACCTACGCAACCACGTTGCCAAAAGGGAAGCTAAACAACATTGCCACGTGCACTTCATTTGAGAAGGATGGGCCTTTTAAAAAAGCGATGCAATCAGGCTCCAGCAGGATTGGAGACTGCTTGCTGGCACCACGAGCAGAGTCACAGGATCAGTATTACATGACTGGGACAGATGAGTTCTGCAGGCAAACGTCTGAAACTGCGTCTACTACGAAACAGAAAAAACTTCTGAAACTAGTTTTACACCAGCGATGTAGTGCTTTGGTAGTTTCATCAAAGCCCCACTTCTATGATTTTCTCTTCTCCCCAGTTTGCCTGTTACTACCACTTCCTAACAGGCAGCTCCAGCCAATACTGGAGAGAGTCCAGCGGAGGGCTACGAGGATGGCGAGGGGACTGGAACATCTCCCCTACGAGGAGAGGCTGAGGGAGCTGGGCTTGTTCAGCCTGAAGAGAAGGCTGCGAGGGGACCTAATATATACTTACAAATATCTGAAGGTTGATTGTCAGGAGGATGGGGCCAAGCTCTTTTCAGGACAAGGGGCAATGGGCACAAGTTGAAGCACAGGAAGTTCTGTCTGAACATGAGGAAGAACAACTTCCCTCTGAGGGTGACGGAGCACTGGAACAGGCTGCCCAGGGAGGGGGTGGAGCCTCCTTCTCTGGAGATATTCAAGACCCGCCTGGACGCAGTCCTCTGCAGCCTGCTGTAGGTGACCCTGCTTGGGCAGGAGGGTTGGACTAGATGACCCACAGAGGTCCCTTCCAACCCCTACCATTCTGTGATTCTGTGAATACCTAGATCCAGGTTAACAGACAACTCACACACTGGAAGGGAAGTTGCTCCCTGTGTCCTTGACCACGGCAGGAATTCCAGCTCGCCTGTTTGACAATATTTCCTGTTTTTTCTGCAGGAACTAACCCACCTGTACCAAGCTGTGCCCTGCAGACAACCTGGATTTCTGGAACACACACCTTCAGCTGTTCACTCTGCCCTTTGTTCACCTGCATCTGGTAGTGTACACCTCACAGGGAAACCTTCAGAAAACTCTCCCCAAATTTAAGACAGTCCATTTATGAGTCACTACATTTTGGTGCAAATTCTACATTTCAGACAGCATTATTTATCAGCTCCCTTTTTCATGGGTGAAGAATTTTTGCTACGTGGCAATCCAATTTTCCTGTGTTTAGAAACTTGACGTGTATATTTTTTTTTTTTTATTTTCTTCTTAGCAATGCAATGAAGAACCACTCAGATGGCAGCCACATCCTTCACCTTAATTTTCCAAAGACAACAGCACCTAACTGCTAGGCAAGACCAGCGATCCAGAACTCGGTGACGCTGCCCTTCACCTCGTGCTTCCTTCAAGGAAAGGTCCTCTCCAGTGTAACTTCCCTTCCTTCAGCTGTGCGGTCACACTGTGAGCGGCAGCAACTGTTCCTTCGTTTTCCAGGGAGGAGATGACCAGAGGGGAAGAGGCCTGTCATTTTCCAGTGCAACAGAAGGGCTGTAAGGAAATGAAAGGAACTGCGAGCTATCAGCTTTTGAACAGTACAGCAAGGCTTTGGGTTTAGGTCTTAATTTGGGGCTTTAACTGCTGAGAAAGGCAAGTAGTAGTGACTGCCCAGGACTAACCACCTCCTCCCACACTCCTTTTTGACCAAGCATCAGCACGATCTATGTTACCAGTAAGGAATAGATTTTTTTGTGTGAAACCAATATGACACATTTGATTTCTCCGTCACTCTCTTCTCCCATGTGTTCAAGCCTCAGGCAGAAGCAGAGGCACCTACTGGGACTGTTCCACAGTGACAGGAGGCAGCAGACTAGCAGCCCCCTCCCACAAAAGGTCACAGCAACACGTATGCTCACCCTGACAGAACGCTGCATGAAAAACAATTACCTCAGTCTTTCTGGTCTAAGTTCTTTGAGATAAGGCAGGCTGGTGACTTCACCTTTTAGGTACTGTCCCTTACTGCTCAACAGTCGATACCAAACTTCTAAAACGGCTATTATGTAGT